TTTGTGCTTTCACTTTTTTTAAAACTCCTCTAATGTCTAAATCTTGCTAGGCCAAGTAGCTAAAGAATATAGTTTTTCAAAATAGGGAAACAGTATCATAGAAATGTGTTATCCATAGACACTTGTTAATATAAGAAATACACTTTACATCTTTGAGTTCAGTGTTCATGAGCTTAAAAATAAGATTCAGGGATATAAATCCCATTAATTCCAAATATAGCATTTGATTTTACTACAGTGAATAACATATTCCATGTTTAGCTTTTATTAACTCAAAAGTATGTAAGTTAATATTAGAACTTTATAATTCAAAGATAAAAGTTTTAGCCTGAGGCTACTTTTGAATGAATTGAATACTAACAACAGTGTTAATTATAACTTACTTAGGAAGACTGTAGAAATGAAATGTCCTTGTCCAAATTAGTAACATTCATTTTAAAAGAATTCTTAAAATCATTACTAAAAATAACCCTAACTTGGTGATTATTAAAAACTAAATGCTTTACAAATATACTGAAGGGCCATCAAAAGAATGTGAGAGGTTTTGTGAAGAGATTTATTTGTAAATGAAATTGAAAAGTCCTAGGCAGTTTTTTCAAAACAGAAGTCACTGTGACCTCAATTTTAGTGTTACATTCAGTGATCCCAACTTTAGTGTTCCATGCTGTGACCTCAACTTCAGTGTTACATGCTGTGTTCCCTGGATATCATTACTAATCTGTGTTCCAGGAATCACCAGTGTCAGTGTCTCTAGAGGTCTTATTAAAAATGTGGAATCAGAGGCCTTACCTCAAAATCTACTCAATCAGAAGCACCTTTTTTTCATTTTATGTATGTTTTTTATTTAAATTAGAAACATGCATGCTTCAAATGTCAATCCCGGCTCCCCCCTTCTCCCTCCACCAGCCCCACCCCACCCCCCACCCCCAGCCCAATCCCCACATCATTCCCCAGGGAGGTAAGGCCCTCCTTGGGGGGATATCCAGAGTCTGTCATTTCATCCAGGGCAGGACCTAGGCCCTTCCCCGTGTGTCCAGGCTGAGAGAGCATCCCTTCATGTGGAATGGGCTCCCAAAGTTCATTTGTATGTCATGGTGAACACGACCCAAAGCCCCAGAGATTTCTGAGGCCTCCTCACTGATAGTACATTCATGGAGTCTGGATCAGTCCCCTGTTGGCCTCTCAGCCATCAGTCTGGGGTTTAAGAGCTCCCCCTTGTCCAGTCAGCTGTCTTTGTGGGTTTCACCAGCCCTGTCTTGACTGCCTTGCTCATCACTCCTCCATCTCTGTTACTGGGTTCCAGGGGGTCAGTTCAGTGTTTAGTTGTGAGTATCTGTCTTTTTAAGGAGATCCCATGTGTTCAGTGTTTGAGAAACACAGACTTAAAGTAGCTCTTAGTGAAAGCTTTATGCTCAACACAAAGAGTCCTAGCTGGCTCCATAGTATCTGGGTGTTTCAAATCTAGAGAGCTTTCAAGCCTCATGGACTCAACACTTATCCTTGCCCTAAATGGACTCCTGTCTAGACATGACTCATGCTTAGGACAAGACAGGACTTCCTTCTTTTTAGCCACTACCAAAGAACAAATACAGAAATGGCAAGAATTAGTTAGATATTATTTACCTTCAGCTGATACACTTAGTAAACATTGCTCAAGACAGTTAATGCATTTGGGGTTTAGAATTATATTTTATAACCATTGGGTCTCATTGAGTGTGGCTGTATCTTTTTACTATAAAGGAACTAATTTAAGACTAAATCCAATAATGGTGTGTAGTTGTTGTCTCATTTCTAAAAAGTAAGTATTGCAACTTGGGAAACATAATTTATTATTAGGTGTTTATATTTTTTGCTGAACTCTACACACCACATGCTGGGCTTTTCCTGTTTCTCTTTTCCAAATCTTAATGGTAGAAAATCAATCGGCACTGAAATTGTCACAGAATTGATTGAGAAAATTGAGAGACAAAACTCAAATTATCTTGACATGCGAGGTGACATTTTTGCAAGTTTATGAAAAATGAAACAAAGAAATTAGCTCTTGCTTAGTATAGTTAATGTTATTTAAAACTTAATACTCCTCTCTTCATTTAAAGAAAGGCAAAAATTACATTCAAGTTACTTACTAGTCTTACTATGGAGTGAATACTTGTATTTGTTCTTGGCATACACTGTTTATGTTTGCCTTAGCACTGAACATGTCCCTTTGTTTGTATTTTTAGTCTTTGAATTTCTCTGTTTTTATCTGGGCTGGTGGGGCAGTGTTCCACTGTTCACATGACGTACTTGTTCTCACTGAGAGGGCAACATTTTTAAGTTGATTCCCTCCTTTCACCTTTTTGTGTGTTCCAGGAATCAAACTCAAGTCAGCAGACCTGCATCTTCTGGGTAGGTAACAAGCATCTTTACCCACTGAGCCACCCCACTGCCCCATGTTCTGTGTCTTTCATTTAACATTATGTAACAAACATTTTAATGGGCCTTGTACTGCTGTTATGATTACAGTTTTAATGAATTCATAAGGTCCATCCTAATGAATATATTCTCCTTAGCCAGTGTTTTATTTTCTGGCTTGAAGTAGGTTTCTTTAAATGACTTCCTGTAAATATCTAAGACTGTAGTAAGTACCTTTTAGCCTAAAGCATTACATTTTTTCTGCCATTTGGGCTCCCAGCAGATATATTACCATGAGTTATATTTTCTGTGTTAAGTAGGAACCCCCATGTGGCATGAATAATAAAAACCTAAAGGCAGATATTGGCGTTAAAGCTGGAGATGAGAGAAACAAAGCGGCAGCAACGAGAGAGTTCTCAGCTCTACCAGTGCTCAGACGGAAGGGGCGATCCACCGAAAGCAGATTGGTCTCCACTGCACTGCTCTTCAGGTTCACTCAGACTGCACACCCCTCCACCAAAAACTTCAGCTGCTCAGTGAGAGTACACTGAGCCCCTGCCTTATATTCCCCTGTAGGGCTGGGATCAAAGGAGTGAGCTCTGTTTCTCTTTTAGACTGATTCACTCTCGTGTAGCCCAGAGTGACCTTGAACAGTGCTGGGATTAAAGGTGTGGCCACCACTGCCTGTCCTCTAAGGCTAACTAATGGTTTAGTGTTTGTGTGGCCAACTAGTAGCTTAGCTCTTACTAGTGGCTTAGCTCTGCACTCTGATCTTCAAGCAAGCTTTATTAGATCCTAAACAAAATATCACCACCATCTTCCAAAAAAAAAAAAAAAAACACCACCAACAACAAAAAACATTAAAACTAAAACATATTTACTCACTCTGCTCATCTTATAAAGGCATTGGTGGCTGAAAAAGAGATCCAAAAACATCTTAGGACAATGAACTTCAAACCCTATCTAGATATTTATGCATAAAATATCAGGGGATATAAAGAACTGATCTACTAATGGTTTGAGGAGCAATCATTTTACTTAACTGAAGTCTTCTACATTAACGTGCCCAGAAAATTATTTCCAATACTTTCTATAATTTGTACAAATAACCACTATTCAGGTATGCATAGGCTGTTTTCCATGTACCCCATATAACTATAAGAAAGCCTGTACCTTAAGACATCATAAACTGTTTTCTCCATCCCAAAGAAACTACCTGTAAACTAGAATATGCAAAATGTATAGAGTTCACCTGAAATTATGAATGATTCAGACAGACACCTAATTTAAACAGATAGCATAATAAAAATACCTTGCTCACTTGTATAAACTAACAGATATCAAAATGGCCACCAGCAATAGAAAAATGTGGCCACTTTAGTTACAGATTTCACAGAGCCCCTCACAATTTCCATTCTATGGCCTCCTATGCAGCCCTAAGGTGTTATATAAGCCCTTCCTGGCAAGCAGGAACATGTCATTTTTACTGACAATTTTGAAGGTCTTATTCTAACTGACACTTGACATCCCAATCACCATAGAAGCTTATTATATGTTAACATAATTCCATAAGCAACTCTCTGAAGAATTTTCTCAAATGACCCAAACTGTTTAAACAATTTCAGAGGTGACTTCAATTTTAGATTTCTATTACATACATGAATACCATTCAAACACAGTGTCCTTGGCAACAACTCAATATTTAAAAGCTTTTAAATGTTCAAATGGCATGGTGAATTATAAGAATAATGCCAGCTAGATATTTATTAAGTAACTCCTCTGTGATAGGCACTGCTCTAAGCACTCTACATTTTTTAATGTTATGACCCTTAAAACAATTCTAAGAGGAAGGGATTACATTGTGTCTATTGCTTTCCTGAAGAGGAGATTGAAGTACACAGATATTAAGCAACTTGCTCCAAATAAATATAGGTAGAGACAGCTATAAATTTAAAAGGAAAATTAGTGTCAAAATCAAACTATCTGCGGCTGAAGAGATGGCTCAGAGGTTAAGAGCACTGGCTGCTCTTCCAGAGGTCCTGAGTTCAATTCCCAGCAACCACACAGTGACTCACAACCATCTATAATGAGATCTTGTGCCCTCTTCTGGCATTCAGGCATACATGCAGACAGAACAGTGTATACATAATAAATAAATAAATAAATCTAAAAAAATCAAGCCTCTGACCTGAAAATCTAGCCATTTAGCTATTAAAAATGCTGTCTTACTCCTTAGTTATTTGAATATTTTCTGTAATATTCTTCTAACCTTTTTAGTTTCTCTTGAGAAATACAAGGTTTCACTGGACACTAGCAACCACAAACAATTGATGATGCTCTTGTGTCCTATCTCCAAATAAATACAGCTCAAGATTTTTCAATAAGATTGAACTGTTTTGGAGATGAGTAGGACATTTGTCTTTGTTTTTGTTGCAAACCATTAATATGTCTCATTAAAATGAAGGAAAAGGAAGTGGTGGCTCATGCCTTCAATCCTAGCAGAGGCAATCAGATCTCTGAGTTCAAGGCAAGCCTGGTCTACAGTGCAAGTTCCAGAACAGGCTCCAAAGCTACAGAGAAACCCTGTCTCAAAAGAACAAAACAAAGTGCTCGCTTCGGCAGCACATATACTAAAATTGGAACGATACAGAGAACATTAGCATGGCCCCTGCGCAAGGATGACACGCAAAAGAACAAAAACAAAAACAGCAAAAAAAAAGAACAAAAACAAAAACAGTAAAGTCTAATATAAACTCTTGCTGTTCTTCTCATGCTGTTTGTTTGATGAGCCATGTATGTCTAGTTTGTTTGATATAAAATAGTACTAAAGCTCACTAAAACAGTACTTGCCGTGGGGAGGGGCCCTCCACATACCAATTTGGATATGCTGAATTTAGCAAACTGTTTAGGTATTCAAATAGACTAGTCAGTAAGGATCATAGCACACAAATAATAATTGCTTGCTAATTTAAAAATTATTAACATGGACATAGAAATTGAAACTAGTCTGTGATAATCGCTCATCATAAAAAAGTATGAGAAAGAAGAATGAGAAAACAAGTCTTGACTGCTGAAGAACCTGCCAGGAAGACCCTACGGAGAAGGGTAAAGAACAAGGCTGAGAAACACATAGGAGCGAAGCACGAAGACCAGGGTGTGCCATTGCTAGGAAGACTGTTCCACGACCTGGGGCATGACCAACTGGTTGAAGCATCTGAGAGACCACAAAAAAAATCTGAAAAAAATTCATCACTGATTTTTTCTCATATTTTTAGAAGTAGTACACAGATAAAGTAGATGAGGAGTTAAGTATGAAATCAGCTGTTTCAAAAAGGAGATGGAATCATCCAGAAGAGACAGTGTGATGCACTCTATTGATTAAAAGTGAGTTTCAAGGATGAAACCAATATATCTTGAATTCTGATTTTGTTCCTTATTAGATGTGTAACGTTAGTCAGACTTCTTAACTTGGGTGTACCTATTTCATACCTACTAACTAGGGGAAAACAGGCTATGAAAGAAGAGATCTGCTATTAAGAATTCTTGCGTATAGAAATGTCAAAATATTAAGTAAATACTAGACACAATCATCACATAATCATGAAACAGCATGGTGGCAGCACTGGTTTGGGAGTTTACTAATCCAAGTAATAAGTGGAGATAACCAGAGAGGTTAATGATAATAAGGATCTTTAGTGTCCTTGCTACAGGAAGTAGATTTCTTTTCAAGCCATGAAGACTCATTCAGGAACTATTGGCGTACAGTCCTAAAAATCAGCATGTTTAAAATGGAGTGTGCCTGTCAATCCCACCTTCCCTCGCTTCCTTTCCAGGAAAGGGAATTTCCACCCACACCCCAAAACCATTCCATAGTTCTCCCGTGAAACATTAAATCTGGCTCATTCTGCTTGCTCCACATCTCTTAACTGCCGCTCCTTTCTAATCCAAGTGTCTAAATTCAGGGCATCCCAATGGCTCTTTCGTGTTCTTTGGCATCTGGCTATGAACCCCGCCTATCTACTGACATCCCAGTCCCTTTTAAGGAAGCCCAGTAGTGCTTTTAGTGTTGTAGTGTCTAAAAACATTGGTTTAATTATGACATTTGCATCCTTACATAATCATTGTGCTTTCTCCCACCGATTCCTCTCCTCTCCCATGACAGACAAGCTCCCTGCATTGTGCTTTGCGTCATACATTGCGCGTGTGCACATGCGTCTGTCTAGACTATGCAGAGGGAATGATGCTATGCTGCATCCTTCTCACCTCTCCTATCCACTTGTCTTGTTCCTCCTTCTTCCATGCCTTTAGAGTCTTCAGATCCTTTTGTTCCTCAACAAAGTTCCTCTTCCACATTCGTGTCATACAGATGAGCAAATGGACCGATGGATAGATGATAGACACACAACAGATGTTTTAAATCTAGAGTCCTCATATGAGAAGAATTTGTGAAGGCCTTAAGTGTGACATTCAAATCCCCAACTGCGCTTACCCTGGCTACTTCATCAGCAGAATCTTTTGCTGCACTCTATCTAACGAGATTTTTCAAATTACCCAGAAAATTTTAATCGTTGTTACCGCCATCTGGATTTTGTTCTCTGATTCCTGTTCCAAAAACGCCTGACTTCCCTTTCTCTTGCTGTCAACGCTTTCCTACGCTGTCCTCGGTATTTATTATCCTTCCTCCACATGGATCACTTTGTTTTTATTATGTCTCCACAATACTCTGTGCGGTGCACTTTAGTGCACTTAATTTAAAAACCTTCGTGTTCGTCCTGGAAGGGCATAAATATGGGATGTTATCTGTTCTGTCCTCTGGCTGGCAGGGAAGGCATTCAGCATATGCTCATGAGAAAGGAAGAGCATGAGCATACTTGAACCTCTGTGGAAATGAAAACTCAGTCCATCCTCCGAAAGAAGAATGTCAGGTAGATTACTTCATGACATATTATGTGGCTTTCCATTCTACATGCATTTTACTGCCCCCTCAAGCCTTCTTACTGGCTATAGGAAAGGTAGCATGCTCTTTGTCAGAAACTGTAATGTTCTGTCAGCAATTAGAAACAGAAACACAAATGCAAGCCACTGGTTTCCCTCATGATACCTAAGCAACGGCTACAAGTCCTAAGCTAATAGAGACATCGCCAGCACGAAGACTTCCTGGCACCCTCGCATAGCTCCCAAGACAATGAGAAATGGGCAGCTAGGCTTTGTTCCATTGAGATAAAGGAAAGTGGCCCTGTCACATATGTCTGGTCCCAAGTACTCCAGCAGACAGGAGGCAGAGAAGGCTGCCATAGCTTTTAACAGAGCTGAGGAGTCAATTAGTCACGAATTAGCTGAGGAGACATTGATGCTGCTGGGCTTGCAGAAGTATTGTAACGACATTTAATAACACTGTTAGCAGAAATGTGTCTCACTAATCATCTCTGTTTAGATATAACTGATGGCTTATTTAATCAAGAGTGGGAAAGGACACCTCTGCTCTAGCCGAACTGTTCTCAAGTGGGTGACTGATGGAGAAATTGGGACTGTACATAATCACCCAGGTTTTCCAACCACTTGTACTTCTGTATATAAGTTGCCAGAAGGGCTTCTCTGGCTATGGGCTCTGCAACCCTATACAGTTTCTTGGGGGAAAGAGCTGAGAGAAAATTTCTGTATGCCAGTGTAGACTGGTAAATGGAAGGGGGATCTCTCCTCCAGCATGACTGTGTTTTGGTTTCTGCACCTTGAGGGTTTGTTTTGCTTGGTTTTTCTCCAGTGCACTCCAGAGGAGGTAGGGAAATCAGCGTAAATTCCTCCTTTGGGCTTGCTTTGTCCCAGTGCTGCAGGCAGAGCATGAAGAGATGCTTGCTTGTTTCCTCTGTGTGAAACAGTCTCTTCCGACTCTACTTAATACCTTCACGGTCTCCAGGCTAATGGACCTGGCGTCCTAGGCAATGCTCGTCCTGGTGTTCTGCTCTCACGCCATCCCCTACACTAGAGGAGTAAGAACGCCAAACTACCACATTCCGTGGTAGTTTGGGAGGTAGATTGGTCCTTGCCAGCCTATGCTAACAGGTATCCACTTCGATTCTGTCCACCCGTGGTTTAACTTGCAACAGGTATAGCTTAGCATAAACTCCTTGGATGCCTGGCAGTGTGCCCTTGGAGGATCATGGACTCCGTCAAACTTCATGCATTTTGTTTTGTGATTATGAGCTGATGGTTTTGTTTATCAAAAACTCAAAGCAGTGGGGCCATTTAAATCACACCCAGGAATGCCAAAATTGCGAGCCAAAATAAAGCTTTCATCTGTATATGTAACTTCCTTCAGGTAGTTTGTTATAGCAATGAAAGCTAGTATGCCGCTATAAGAACTCAGTGGTTCACATAAACAGTGATCTGTCCAGGATCACTTTTGTATCGTGTTTACATCTCCAGATTCTGGCAGGGACCCTTGTCCAGTCTCACACATCCCTTTAGCATTTATTGAGCAAAACAGATTAAAGTAAAGCAAAACCACCTTAATTATTAAAATCATTTTAATGTACTTCCCAGAGTGAAGGGAAGCAAGGCAGTTGACCTGAATATGGGCAAGCTGGTGTACAGCCTGCTTCTGTGCTATGGACTTTAACCATGCATCAATAACTCTGTCTCGTCTCAGGTAATGCTTTACATAATTGAGTTATATCCGATGGAAACTAAACTGTATCTAGAAGAACATGCAAGAGAAAATCTTTCGTGTATTTTGATTTTAAAAGTATTTATTAGACTACAAAAATCCTAATAAAAACTGAAAATGGATGCACAGGGTGGTACACACCTTAAATCTGAGCATTGGAGAGGCAGGGGCAAGTAGATCTCTGTGAGCTCAGGACAAACTGGTCTACGTAGTCAGTTCCAGGCCAAACAGGGCAATACAATGAGACCCTGTTGGAAAAAAAATTGAAGATGTCTGCTCTCAAACAGACCCTAAGACAAAGAAAAAAGGGCCACAGATTACTTTAAAAATATTACAAACTTGGGCTGGCAACTTGGCTTAGTGGTTAAGAGCTCTTGTTGCTCTTACAGAAGACCCAGATCAGTTCTTATCACGTACTTACTGGTTCCCAACCATCCACTACTCCAGTTCCAGGGGATCTAATGTCCTCTTCTGGCCTGTCAGCACCAGGCATGCACGTGGTGCACATACAAATATGCAGGCAAACCACTCATACACAAACTAAATACATCCAAACAGATTCAGATATTGCAAAGCATATACAAGAAAAATTATAAGTAATATTTTGTCAACAATGCTAAATATCCCTCCTCAAAAATTCAACCTCAGGATTGGCTTCCCCAACCCCAAATAAAAGATGTTCATATAGAGTCTAAATACAGAAGGAACAGATGCGTTGGCTCGCGTTCTTACAGGATTTGTGTGCTATTTAGAAATTGGATTGCTTTGACGAATTACTTGTTAGCCAGGAAAAGCATTAAGAGATTATTTGTCTGCAGTGATTTTAAACTTTCCCCTAATGATAAACTCATTTTGAAAGAAGAAGGCAGCCAAAGTAGTTTTACTTGGAGAGATATTATTTCATCCATGTCAGAAACACCAAAGGCATGAAAAGAAAGTACACTCCAGTTTTCAATTTTGTTATTTAAGGCTTATGAATAACAGAACCAAACAATTTTAATCCTAAATAGTACATATTTCAGAATTCCCCTGAAATGCCTGTCCTTTTA